CTTGGTGCCCCTCGTTTCCCAAGAAAATGCCTGGTGGATTAAGCAGTAGTACCAGACCTCATATGGTTTGGCACCAGTGCTTACCAAAACAAAAGCGTGAGTGAGAATTGTATGCGGCTTCCTAGGAAACAGGCATCCTTCCCTCAATAGGTTAAGTTACATGAAGAGTGTGTGCTTAGAAGTCTGTTTTTCCAACTTTGAAGAAGTTGTGCTAACTACAGAGTAAATCCAGTGCAGAACATGCTTGGCAGCTTGCCCAGCCTTGGGATGAGGTAGCTGTTCCATCTTTGCTAGCTTAAAAAGGGCGGTGCTCAGGGAAATTCCTGGCCAGAATAAATGCAGCCGAGCTAGTCTTCCCTTATATACTCTATTTCAGCCCCACCCCACCCATGTAGTCATCAGTAGCCCTATCTCTGCACGAGATGGCAAATACCCAGTATCAGAGAAAAAATACACTTAGGATGACAGAGGTGTGCTCTCTCATACCACCTAATCTGTGCTGTACAGGACTTGCCCCACACTGCTATATCCGGTAATGATAGCTATTCCTGGATAGCAGCAAGCCATTTTGCGCTGGTATGATGGCACTTTGTCCCTATTCAATCCGACACAACACTGGAGTGTGCGTGATTTACAAAGCCATAGCAATTACTGTGCCCCTTTGTGTTTGCTCTTGCACTGTAGATGTAGTTATTTTGCAGTCAGGACCAGTGTTCCCTCTAAGCTGAGTTAGTGTGAGCTAGCTCACAGTTTTTTAGCATCCGGCTCACACATTTTAGTCTGAGCTCAGGAAGGAGGGCTCCAGAGCAAACTAATCTATGTGATAGCCAAATCGCTCACTCACAATTTTAATGCCAGTAGCTCACAAAGTAGAATTTTTACTCACAAGACTCCACAGCTTAGAAGAGAGCATTGGTCAGGACCGAACATGAGTGGTACTTATCCCTCCCTAAGGTACCACTGAAAACATAGGCATGGGAAGGGATAGGATCTGGGAAACCCAGGTTCAAATGATCCCACTCTGCCACGGAAACTCACAGGGTGTCCTTGGGCCAGTCACACTCTCCCAGCCTAACCTACTTCCCAGGGTTGCTGTGGGGATAAAACGGAGGAGAGGAGAACAATGTAAGCAGTTTTGGGTCCCCATTTGGGACAAACGTGGAATATGAATAAAGTAAACCAAACCAAACCAATAGTATTATATATTCGGTCCAAGCACCACTAGTTGGCAGTCTCTTACATAGAACAGCTGGCAATGCCAGTGTGAGTGGGCTTATATCTTTAGCGTGGCATAATTTTTGTTTGGGGGATTCCTACTGGGGTTTTCCCCCCCAGTCAGGCTAGGGGCCCTATGGAATAACACGGAATACAAAGATTAAGCTAAGAATTGAGTAAAATCTGCATCAGATGGGCTAGTTTGTTACATTCTTTGGTCGTATTTTCTAGGCAAAGGTAAAAAAAGCTGCAATTCCATCTCCGTTGGGGCTTTTTTAGACGACGATGACATGAGCCTGGAAGAAGTTAAGAACAGGCAGAATGCAGCTCGGAACTACAGCCGGGTGAATGCGCCCAGTGAACCAACGATCAGTGACATTGGAAGTTCAGAGCGCGACATCCTGTCCATTGCACATACGGGGGGGATGATACCAATGGAAGACGTCTCCAACGGGCACTATGAGAATGGGGGTCCAGCTGGTAAAAACGGATGTTGTAGTCCTGTGACGGGTGATAGGACAGGAAGTGCTCACAGGAGGCATCCCAGTCAGGAAGAGTGCCTCCAGTCACCCGTCTCTAACTTAAGGGAAGAATTCGATAAACTGGCTTGTCAGGAGCACACAGTGGGAGGTGAAGAAGGTGGAAAGGCGAGCCAGGCCACTTCAGAAAGTGAGAACGAGAGATTTCAGAAGGAAAGCACAAGGCAGCTGAGGAAACCCAGGGACCACCTTACTAAGCTGGGTACAGCTGCTGGAAAGACAGAGGGTACAAAAATAAGGACAGAAGAGAAAACGCCACTTGCTGGAAGACCATCAGCAGACATCGATGTCTGGAGTAGAGAGACAAAGCAGGTTAGCAGTTCTGAACTGCAGCCCAAGATGTCTCCAGGATGTGTCTCAGAGACCTCACCCGAAAGAGTCAAGAGGTTATTTCTCTTAGGGTAAGGTTTAACAAACTAGCCCCTTCTTTTGTGTGCGGGGGGGGGGCATGCACATTTAAACATTTAATTTCACATTCTAGGGTGCTGAAATCACAGGTTTTTAACTTAAGTATTGGAGTTGACTGTGCATATGTGAAGTTTAGTTATCACATCACAGGTTTTTAACTTAAGTATTGGAGTGGACTGTGCATATGTGAAGTTTTATCATATGTTTGCAGTGGACATAATATACCCACTTGTTTCCTTGGCTAGCCAGGCTGTTTTTTCAACCCAGTTATCTGCCGTAACGTTAGAAGTTATTTGTCAGAAGTGCTTTTTATCCATTAATCTGTTCTTAACTGTTGGTCATCCAAAAGATCGAATCATGCCTTAATAAACTGGACTAATTAGGTAAGGTATAAACAGTATTTAAAAATACTGGAATAGTGGGCAGTCAGGTACTGCCAGAACGGTTTTCCTAACTAGGTTCTCTTTCTTTTTAGTGAGAAGCCATCCAAGTTGGACAATGATGTGTTAACAGCTCTAAATGGAGTAGAGATTGACTCACAAAGATATCCTGCTATCTATAAGTGGTCTACAGCTGTACAGTCCTGCTCACCTTCTGAACGGCAAAGGTACACTGAAGTTTATTAGTGCGAGTTGGTCAGCGGGGTGTTGCCATGTTGTGCTGTGTGGGTGTGGCTTGCCCTAAGGGTCAAAGAAAGTCTCCTTTTTCCCACACCTGCCAGTGAGGAAGAGAAGGCCATCTTAAATTCACATACAACATACAGTTATGTACAGTAATAAAACTCACATAGCATTTTTAAGGGGATTGTCTTAGATTCAGGGTCTTCTTTTTGGGTAAATACGGTAACCTGTGGCAGACACTTTCATAAACTAGAGCCCATTTCATTCATAAGGCATGGCAAGCCCTAACTGACAGAGCCAACACTCAAGAATTTTAAAAAAACCTACAACTTATTGAGCATTTTCACTGAAGCTATAGTGGCCTGTCATCCAGGATCACTGACTGCTTCTTACATTTCATTCATTGTTTCTTCATCTTTTTTGTGATGTCTTTAAAATTTTGTTTTTTTCCTCCCCAGTTGGGAAAATCCAACACTGAAAGGTTGTTTCAAGAGGCAAACAGTTCAAAGCCCATCCGGTGGCCCACTATATTGTAGCCCAGGAAAGAACTCTCTGGCATTCAGTAGTCCCGGCAAGTACAGTACAGCTGCTGCCAATTGTTCTCCAGAATTTGTGAGCCCTGGACGGTACAGCCCAGCATATGTGAACCATATTCTGTTATCCAAACTGCATCACTTTCCAGGAGCACCGACTCATTAGAATAGGACTCTTTTTCTTAAAAAAACAAAACTATTTTTTTTTCTAAACTGAAGGAAAAAAGGTGTTGAAACACTTGACGTGGTGTGTTTTTGTTCTTGGAGGAAGGGGCTGTTTGCAGCAGGTGTCTTCATTCCATTTTAGTAGATTAGTAACAGTTAATGTGTTAGTAAAGAGAGGAGGGTCTCCTTCTGAACAGTAGAACTAAAACATTCCTAAAAGTAATCCTGGCTAGAAAGGATGGCCTTTTTGTAGAACAAGAAGTGCTCCTCACCAAGTCTGCTTCTCTCTAGCTTCTCCACATTCATAACCTTTTCATAGTAGCAGATATAGACTACAGAGTACTCAAGATACCAAGTTGTGTCCTAAGATTAGTCTTCCAGTTGAGGTGAGAGAGAAGAATGGCTTTTTTTCCCAGTCTGCTTGAAAACTGAACTGTTCATCAGTGTATATAGGCAACAGGTTTATGGATGACTGTTTAATTAAAATTAGTGTTGGCTAAAAAAGCAGCAGGTGATCACTTAAGTGTCCTATGCTGAAACTAAGAAAGATCTAATGTTAAAAACTAATGGCAATGTTTAAGTATGTGTTTGAATAGGTTCTTCTGTCCCACCACCCATGCATTTGTCATGGGCAGACTTCACAGTTCCTACATATAGTCAACATTAGCAATAACATTACAAAAGTTTCCAAATGTTCTAGTGTGTTCTCGTTATCACACTATGGGAACAAGTTCCTTTGGAACTGGTTTGCTTGAAATGTCTAGAATAGGTAACAGAAAGGTCCCACTAAAATACTTCATCTGGGAGTTAAAGCGCTAACGATTTCAGGAGTGAACCTACATCTGTTTTTGTTGTTGTTTTGATGAGCCTTCCTTAGCAGCATAATTCTGCAACTGCCCATATATTTACCCATTGTCATGACTCATGTATATGTTACCTAGAATATATCTAGCAAGAGGTACTTTTTTCCAATGTAGTGCTTGAAGAGAAAGTGAGGGGGAGAAGGGGGAGACTGTTACCCAGCTTGCAATCATTACTGTGTCAGCGACTGGTTTGGTGTCTTTCTTATATCAGGTATAATGACCATTTTCGATACTGTTCCTACCTGTTGGCTGTTTTGGTACCGAACTCCAGAACCGCACTTAAGGCTCTTCCGATCTTCCGATTTTATTAGTGCCTTTTGTAACATATTTTTATGTTGTGTAATAATAAGTGCTGTTTCTTTATGCGAGCACTTCAGTTAATTTTAACTTTCCAACACCTTGCTGAAGTGTTTTTAAGCTTTTTTTTTATTGTTCAGAGGCTGGAAACAGCTTTTTGCTACATAGTATATTTATTTTAAATCATAGGTTATATAACTGGCCTACATGTAAACTAATTAATGTTTTTGCAGGTAAGGTGACCCTTTTATTATGTATCACTTCCTAGTTTTAAATAATGGGATATTCAAAACATGGTGCAAACTATTTTACTTTTATATGGTTCTGTTCCAGATTTGTCTCTGAATTACAAAATAGCAAAACAGATTGGAAGAGTGCTGTCGTCCACATAGAGAGAAGCTAGTTTTGACAGATCAATATATAACTTTTAGGGATTTCATCTCTGCAGTAGTGTAGAAAGGAAGTTTCCTAAAGATTCCAGGGGGAGGGCAACATTGCCAACATTAGAATTCAATTTCTAGAAATCAGTTAAGCAATCCAGACTTGACTTGTGAAAACCATTCCCCACTCCGTATCTCTGACAAAGCTGAAAACAAACCAGACAGGAATGCTCTTATCTAGCTATGTATGGCCAACCACCAAACACATAAAAATGTTCACTTAGAAACATCATCAGAACTTTAAACCAACAGTGTTTTGTTTCTTTGCCCTGGTGATATGTATGCATTTTTGTATTTAAGTGTGTACTTCTGGAGCACAAACTCTGTAACACTTGTGTGTTGGTAGGGAGGGGTCCAAAGGGTTGGTGTTAGAGTAATATTAATGTGACTAAAACTCACATTTGAGTCTTTTTTTGGTCAATGTGTTACCTGACTTTTTAACCACCTTATTAAATTTGCTTATTTAAAAACATACCATTAGCAGTGAGTTTGTGTATCAGTCTTAACCGAGGCCCTGTTCTTTTGTGCCTCTCTTTGGCTGTTTCCACATTGTTTCAGCTACTACTGCAATACTCTCTTGGGAGGAGAGGGGTAAGTAGGACATCTATATGATATTGTGGTCCAGTTGTGCTTCCACTGTCCTGTCTCATCCTTGGTACACTTTCCCAAACATGCTTTTATCTTATTTACAGGATCAGACAGTTCATCAGTTCTATCTTCCCCACAGTCCCACCAGAGTGGCTTCCTAAGAATCAGTAATAGCTAGATCACTAGAACATTATGATTAACAATGCCAGCTTTACTTTTTTAAAGTTTCTAGCTGTTCCCCCCCCCCAAAAAAATGTGCCATTCTTTTTGCATCTCTGCCATGGAAAGGACTAGCTGCTGTACAGCACAGGGGACACTGCTGCAGACAAATATGGTATCAGAACACATTCTTACCACTCTTGTTCACTTCAATAATAGATCCTCTCAAAGAACCACAGCAAAATTTTCCCCAGGGGAAAAAAAACACTTGTAACAACTCTTATTTTAAAAAAAAAACTGACAGAGGAGAACACATGAAGCTGCCTTCTACAGAAATCAGAACATTGGTTCATCAAGGTCAGGTCTTGTCTACTCAAACTGGCAGCAGCTCTCCACTGATCCTTTCAGACAGAGATACCCGTGATTGTACCTGGGACCTTCTGCATGCCCGGCAGATGCTCCACTTCCCCATGGTTGGTGCTGCCAGTAGCGTGCCAGGGAGCAGGCACAGACAGGTAACACAGAGGGGTCACTCATGTGATTGGTGAGCTGAACTTATTGGACACAGGAGCACATGATGGCAATTTCCCCCACACTCTGGGGAGGGCTGCGCACTTAGCATCAGACCTCTGGACCATCCCAAGTTGCTGACTCTATCCTGGCGTGAACCGAAGGAGTGGTAGTGGGTGCAAGCAATGTTAGGCAGCGTGGGTGGGGGCTGCTGGCCAACTACCACCAGGCTTTGCTTCACACCCAGGTCACGGATGGGGGCCAACTCTCTGCTGCCATCCAAAAGTAAGCTACAGTAACTGTTAGGCCTTCGGGTTTTCATACAGAACTCTGATCTTGTACATTCATTTATACCAAAACGTATCAAGACCAAATGCCAAACAATAGCTAAGACAGCTGACTGTGACTCAGGAAGTATCTCAGTTCTTACCTCTGCCATAAACTTACCAAGACGCTTTAGAAGACACCCAACTTCCTTCATCTGCTGTGTAGGAAGAATTCCAGTTTTATAGGACTGATTTATGGACAAGAAAGTCACGAAATGACAATCAGTGGAGACTGCTGCTTCAAATCTTAAGACATTCTTTTATTTTTTATTTTCAGGCATTTCACAAAGTTAAGAATAACTTAAAATTATTTTTGCATTGATCAAAGACAGACCGCCACCATTTTTTACAAGTACAGAAGAATCTCCCCACCACCAACCACCTCAGCCTGGTTCCACGCCACAGTCCTAAGTGCACACCAAGTTGCTAGGCAAGGAGTTTCCCCAAGAACTGCTTCACCTGCCTCAGGTCTGGTTCAGAAGTATGCTGGGTTGTGCTCTTTAGGACGAAGAGGCTCACTTAATTATTTTTTTAGTTTAGTACAATAGCACCAAGTGGCCTCAGGTGTGCTCTCTAACCTAAGTTATATGGTGACAAAACAATGCAGGTAGTCAGCCACGGTAGTTGTTAATGGCACAGGACTTTGGGCATGGCCTAATGTAAGCGATTAGCCTAGCTGTGAAGGAGTGCATGTTTCAGTTGTGGGGATGAGGGAGGAAAGAGCAGTGTTGTTCTGTCTTTGATCACCTTTACCCAGAACATTGCCAAAGAGTGAACCCATCTTCCCAGATACCATGCAGTTTACATGAGGAGAGATGAGACACCGCTGCCCAGAATTCTTAGTGCCTTTTCTTTCATAATATTCTTACCAGATGCAGCGGACAGGTTCAGGAAGAGTCAAAGAGAGCAACAGCCCACAAGTCCTAAAACTATTGAAAGTTCAGCTATGTTTGGAAATAACACCACTCCCCCTCCCATCGGTCCAGCCATAGTATTTACTTAAGACACCATGACAGTTTCTAATTTACTGATGGATACTCAAGTCTCCCAGCAGAGGGAGAAAGAATCCTCTGTGCACAGTAATAAGCTTTGGTTAGAAGCCAGAGGAGTTTTCCCATTGCAGCAGGGCAAGGATTACTCTCATGTCAGCTGCTAAGTAGGTAGATTCCTGTCTTTCCATCTCTTCATTCCATTAAGTGGTGGTGCAGTGGCTCCATTCACTTCAATGGAACAGGAGAGTCCAGCAAGCCACGCAGAAGATGCACAGGAGCGCTTGGTGGAATGTGCTGGCAGTGTCGTGTCTCCGCGTGTGCCCTTTTCTGTGTGGGAAGGCCTCCCCTGCTGACACAGAAGTGTGGCAGGGGGTAGCTTTTTGTTAAGCAGAGTTTGGAAACTCAATATCCTACCGAGCCACAGTTTTGTACCACAGCTGGACACGCGCACAGAGAGAGTCCCCGAGTGGCTCCAGAAAGACCATCGTGTTGCTTGCTCAGGTGCGTGTGATTTTCTCTGGGGGCATAAACCCCGTGTCCCCGAGCATTCGCAGTGCCACTCTGCCACTAGGACGGATCACCAAGTGAGTGATGCTGCCGTTGTTGAGAGACATCCGAAGCCAGCCCTCAGGAGGAAACTGTAATGCTCTGTGTACACACACATAAAAAGAGAGAGGAAAGCGGCTACTGTAGTGATCTGAACCAATCCAGAAGCATTCATCAGGAAGCCAATAGTTCTGTTTGCACACATCAGACCAGGACAGCTCCATGAGAACACTTTGACATCTGTTTTGTGCCAGCATTGAAAGTCGGTACACCCATTACCGCTTGCACATCATTAATCTGGTTAAATGCGCCACCTCGTGCAAGCACACACCACTGCTAATTTTAAATTTAACAGATGGGAATGATTACTGGAAAAGGATTTCAAGTGATTTCTGGGTTTCTCATGTACAAAATAGAAAATGCTAGTAAAACAAATGGATTTACACTTGCCTTACTGGACCTAAATGCTTAAAATTATTTCCAGCCTCTGTCTGTGTGGAACAAGAGCCATGTTCCAGTGGGAGGCTACAGAAGAGCCTGCTATCAACAGACAAAGGCCATGCTTCAAACTCTACCTAAAAAGGGACCACCTGTAGCAGGCATTAGGTACCCTCTTGCCTTTGATGCCAGGTCTCATTTCAACGTGTTGCTAGGCCACAACTGAAGTTCAACTACCTGCCCACCTCTCAACATCTGCTTGTTAATTACTTAAAAGGGGCAGATGGAACACAAGTCTTCTGGGTCACAGAGGGCTGAAGTGAACATGCAGCTGAGTTCAAGTTACTGCTACCAGATGGGCTCTTGCATCACATCAAATATGGCATCCTCAACAGACAATCTTAAATTCCTTTAACATCTGCATTGGCATGCTGGGTTCTGTGACAAAGTCTGTTCGCAGGAGTGCTGCTCTATACCCTTCCATCCTCCAGCGATTCAACACAAGGCCATTCAGAGAACAGTATAACTGCAACCATCCTTGCACTGATTGGCATCCTGAACCACCACAACCGTGCTCACGGCTGCCCTTCCAACACAGGCAACATAAACCGAGTACAGCATTGTCTGTTTGCAACTTCAGCACAGTTGTGCAGTTTTGCAGTGCTGCACAAGTGAACGGAGTGCAATGCCGGTGTGCTTTGCATAAAGTATGTCAAGAAGCCAGGATTTTGCAGTGCTGCACAAGTGAACGGAGTACAATGCCAGGAACAGCCGGTGTGCTTTGCATAAAATATGTCGAGAAGCCAGAAGGGAAAGCCCATTTAGGAGCTAGAAAGTTATTGAGCTGTATGACAATTAGTTCTTACCCTGTTGCAGCTCTGCCTTTTTTGTATTCTTTAATGTGAAATGTTCTAAAGAAATTTATTCTGACTCTACAAGGCCAGGGGGAACCCTCCTGGACAGATCATGCAGAAAGTTCAGGTTGCTAATAACAACCTACACTTTTGGTAGATGATGGGGAAGGTCTGCAAGCTAGAGCGAGAGAGGAAAGCTTTATGCTCTCATGCTTTCCCGCTTTTAACATCAAAATTAATTTAGTATGGAAGGACTGTTTATTTTAAAATCTCTACTCAGAAACAGGGATTAGAGCAAATGCTTAAAGTTAATCCCACAATCATATGTTGTGCAGGCAGCTGTTCATACAATACTGGGCACTCATCCTTGCCAAATACCTTAGACCTGCAAAATGCACCCGACTGCCCAGCGCTAATTGACTGCTGTGCAGCGCCCTAACCCAACTGAAGAGCCACCCTCTCAGCAGGTGGCCCTCCCCTCCCCCAGCAGATTATGTCAGTCCCATAATTACCTGCATACTATATAGCGGATGACATTGGCGTGACAGACGAAGATTTCATAGCTATCCTCTTCTTGCTTCACGTCAGCTCTGTGAATGTAGTTTCGAAACGCAGCTTCAATGCGAGCCCCGTCTTCATAATACTGCTGAGGGCAGATGAAAGGTTATTGAAATGGATATTTTCTTTTAAAGCGTGTTCTTTGCACCTTTGCCTTTCAAAGATAGATGCAGAAAAAGTATTCTGTCTTCCAGTCAAACCCTAAGGACGACTGGCCACACCAAAAATTCTTGGATCATGACAACATGCTCTACATGGAGTTGCCTCTGAAACCAGGGAGCTATTCACGGGGGCTACACAACTCTCAGAAGACTAGTTTTCAAGATATTGGGGGCCCTCAATGACCTTCAGGAAGCAATTCCCCATATACACAGCTCCTTTCCTTCATATTCTATTCACAAAGGTCACAATGCAGCAAAAGCAAGACCTTGACTGCAGTGGGCCCTGCGCTTTGAAATGAAAGGCTAGTTAGCTTCCAAAGCGGGCTAGATTAAGAGACAAATAGGATATGATTTAAGAAAAATCAGTGCTACGGGAACACATGTTCGGTGGATCAGCACAAGATTGAGGAAAGCTGTTTTAGCTATTTTGAAGTGCAGCACAAGATGACAAGACTGTTGCAGCAATCAGTCACCCAAAACCCTTACCACAGCTTCTGGCTTCCAGTGAGAGATGGGAGGGTTTGGCTCAATAGGAGATCCCTCACACAGCAGGTCGGTGCTCACCTTCTTCACCCCTGAGGAGCAAAACACACACGTGTTGCAAACCAAGCCTCTGCACCCAGGCATCCATTACAATTTTAACAAGAGATTTCTTCAGCCTCTCTTTAGGTGCCACCCCCAACACACAAAATCCCAAAAAGGCCACTGGACTGTCGATGGGATCCTCTCCTACCCTATCTGAGCTTAAAATGCCACTGTTCCCTCCTCCACCTTCCAATCCCTCCCCTTTATTTTATTTAATATATATACCCTGGCATTCTTGGCCATAAGTCCGCACAGCTGCTTCGGACTGCCCAATAAGCTTAAGTCCTTGGACCACACTCCACTCCCCAAGTGCTCTCAGCTGCTCCTGTAGTTTGAGCCTTCACACGTTCCCCTTATCTAGTTTCCAGTGGTCTCGTCACATGTGCATTTTTGACTGTCATTAATAGCTGCTCCTGAAGGCCCACAGACACTCCAGAGCAAACCTAAGATGGAGCTCCTAACCTTTCATGCCAAACCTGGAGGGCACATTGCTGTCAGCGCCCGAGATAATGTTATATGATGCTGGGAAAGATTGCAGGTCAAAGAAGAAGGGGACGGCAAAGAATGAGATGGTTAGACAGTGTTATTGATGCAACGAACATGAAGTTAAGCACACTCCGGGGATGGCGGAGGACAGGAGGGCCTTGCGTGATGTGGTCCATGGGGTCGTGAAGAGTCGAACTCGACTATGCGACTAACAACTGAAGGCTCAAAGCTCAGTGGCATACTGAAACCTGTTCAGCATGATTTAAGACAGCTGGTCCTTGCCCGCCTCCACACTACTGTGTGTGCTGTATCTCAGTTAATCTTTGTTCCTGAAAGCCATCCCAAAGCCACACATATTTGTTCTAAAAGACTCATGCCAGCCTTATGTCATGAAACCTTGAGAACCCATCATCAGGGCATCTCTTGAATGGGGAGCTCCATCCTCTGCCTCTCTTACTCCTTAAAGAAAGCTGGGCATTTTTAGAAGAGATTTGCCATAAGAGATCACTAACCCACTATCAACCTCCACCAATCAGTCTCTCGCTGTCAGCTAGCTGCCATGTTTTGCTTGTTCCCTTCTCTGATCCTGGCTTGCTCGCTGCTCTGCCACTTGCCGTAAACAGCAATAGGGAGACCGTGACAACCAGTGCTGCCAGACTCCATTATCTGTCTGGCCTTCTGAAGGGGGGAGGGCTTGTGTTCCACCGCTGTTGTGAATCTTTCGGCTCTCATGAGGCACTGAGACTCTCCCGCTTATTATGTAACCTCCAGCCGGGAGATTCCCCCCACCCCGCGCTTGAATTTCATTTGCTTAGCCATTTGCCTCATCCTGCTATATGTAGGGATGTTTCCGCCCCTTGGTTATTCCTAACAATAATCCTGTGGATATGGTACCAGTTTTGTACTCTAATAAAGCATAACGCTTCCTTGGAAACGTGTGTGGAGATTTACTTGCTGTTGAACCTGACACTCGCCACCAACGTCAGAGGTGGCTGGCGCTTCAGCACTGGGGCCGATGTGCCTTTTACCAGAGGAAATTTCCACCAAGAACTGATGGTAGGACGGGAGGGTGGTACCGACATTCATAATTGGTGGTACTGTAAGTTCATAATTAGAGCTAAGATAAAAGTCATAACTGGCTATCTATTCCTTTTAAACCTGAAATAATGCTACTTAATTTCTGGCCTGATAAAATGATACCTGCAATCAAGGGGGACTAAATAGCAATGTTATGTACAGCAGGTCAAACGGCAATTGCTCCTTCTTAGAAAAACCCAAAGGTACCAACAATTTCTGCTTTATGTAATGGATAAAAATTTAGATAAATTGTATACTAACAGTATCTCTCCAGAAAACTCTCATTTCGTGGAACTGTTATTTCCTGTATAATTGATTATATTGCTAAAAATGAAGATCTCATCCAATGCTCATACCCAAGAGGTGCTTTTTCCTGTTCTAATTGTTCAGGTTTATTTTCGGAAGTGCTCACACAGTCAAGTGTTTTGAGATTGTTTTACTCTGTATTACTGTGTCCCTATCTTTGGTATTTCATTATTGAATTGTAACCATATTGTCGATATTCAAATAAAATTATTATGAAATGAGGGAGGGCCTGATTTTCAAACAAACTTCAATATAACAAGCTGCCGTCACTGATTGTCCTGTTGTCTACTTCAATGTTAAAGTTACAGGAGCCACCAGAGTTGCAAAGCTGGTATCTTTGACCATATTTGTCAGGACTGCGTGAAAAAAAGTCAAGTTACTGCTCTTTGGTTCAAGCACAGGGCAGATCATACAAACAGTAGTTAAGTGTTCCAGACAGAGGACAAACCAAACAAACAGTCCTTAACTGCCCCAGACTGAGTATGTCATCAATTAGGACAAAACCATAAAAAAGCATACCTGGGGGGAGGAGGAGTCCAAAAAGTGAAATAAAAACAATGTTCAGAGAATAAGAATGCAGGCAGGAGCCTGCAGCCTTCTCCTTCATTTTCAGCTCATCTTTTTGTCCTCTGAAAAAGTTTATCACGCTACCAGGGTTTGTAACAAATGGGTTGGGACTTCTACATGCAAAAGAGCTTTTATGCCTCGCCATGTGCATAAGAAAAAAACTCAGTTCAAAGATGTTCTTTCCCTTCCCCAAGAAGCAGCAAACTGTGGAACTGCACACATGCTTTGTCCAGCAGTACTGGCTGCTACGTCCCTTCTGTTTGCAGCTCTTGGGCATCCAGCCCATGGGGTCTAAAATACAACTGGCTGAAAGCCACACAAGCAATTTAGCAGAAATTCTACCCCAAGACTGCCGACAGGAGCCACTCACCAGGAAGATGCTTGCTGATGATGTTGGTTGTTTCAGATGCTCTGGTCATAGAGGAGTGTACGATTTTATCAAATTTCAGTCCCAAACTTGCTAGCCTTTTTCCTGTCAACTCAGCTTGCTCGCAGCCTAAGGAGTAGGATCACATATCAGTTGCTAATACTTTCAGCAATGCATTTCTTTGGCACTTTCATAGGAACACAGCAAATGCTGGCACAACATGTACCTCTCCCCTTCGTCTATACACAAAAACATGCAAGATTTTCAGAATGAGAATTACCACTACCACTGTTCCTGCTTGCTTTCTTCACCCAACTGGATAAGAGAAACTATTGCACGAAATCTTGCTTATACCTGGGAATAGATGCAAGTATGTTGTTTTCTGGCTACTTCTCTTACAGCCCTTGTTAATTAATAAAGGGATTGCAACACCTGCAAGATACGGAGCTTAGCTCAAAACTTGTTTTCCTGAAGATATAGGGAAGGTTCCTTGCTCTTATGCCAAGAGTTCTGACTCTTAAAGACCATCATCCATTTAAACCAGGCTTGTCACCGGCCCCAGAGGTAGGGCTGTAAAATTTCCAGAAATCCTTGTTTTCCAGGAAAAAGAATGGAATCGGGAGGGGCGGGAAATTGAAGTCTAAACCCATTTTGCTACTTATACAACATGAAATGCATAATTTATCTTAGCTAAAATATCAAGTTGTTACAAGCAAAACTACAAATAACTCAATACTGAAGCGAGAGAGAGAGCTGCAAACTGCTGCACCTAGGCTATCTTAGCACATTTCACTCACTCCGAAAGGGGAAAAAAAATAGGGGGGAAAAATAGGAATGTTACTCAGCACTTCACAAAATTTGGGAAAACTGAATGCTGTCCATTTTGAGTGAAACCTTGCCTTAAAAAGCATTTTACTCAGTCGGAAAAAAAACCTTCTGTATGCTTTTTTTAATGGTTCCCAAAATTAGAGAGAAAGGTCCTTGAAGAAAACTGCTTTTGTCCAGTTTTTCCCCTGAGCCTTTATCAGAAAGTGGAAGCTAAGCAGGGCTAGTACTTGGGTTGAAGACCACCAAGGAAGATTCTGCAGCGGAAGACAATGGTAAAACCACCTCTGCTTCTCACTTGCCTTGAAAGTCCCTTGCTGCAACTTGAAAGCACTTCACACATGCACTAAACTCTTTTTATGCTACTGAATACTGTTTTTATGCCCGCAGTGGATTTAGTGTTTAGATTAGTTTGGTGTAGTGGTTGTGTGTGGACTCTAATCTGGGAGAACCGGGTTTGATTCCCCACTCCTCCACTTGCACCTGCTGATGTGACCTTGGGTCAGTCACAAGCTCTGGCACAGCTGTCCTTGAAAAAGAGCAGTTTGTGTCAGAGTTCTCTCAGCCCCACCCACCTCACAGGGTGCCTGTTGTGGGGAGGGGAAGGGAAAGGAGTTTGTAAGCCGCTCTGAGACTCCAAGTGAAGGGCGGGGTATAAATCCAATCTCTTCTCTTCTTCTATTACTTTATTTTTACTTCATGAGTCACTTAACACAGGTCTCTAGAGAGGTTGCCTAGAATTTTCTATATAAAATAAACACAAAGTGTCCGGACATACGGAGTACAAATGACTGCTCCCAGAGCAGTAGTTTAAATGGCTTGTCTATGATCACGTTTTAAATACCTATGTAACAAGACTGTTACAGCACATGAACAGCCTTTTTCCCCCAACACAGATTCAAAGAATCTCCATCGGTTGTAACAGATCCTACCAGTTTGGTCTGACAGCAAGTGCAAGATCTCTCGAGTACAAAGCATGTAAAATTCTGTAAAGTGCCAGGTATACATACCCAACTGAGTCAGAGTTCTGTCTTTATCCGCTTGCCCATCCAAGTTGTACTGAGAGTGGCGTATGAGGAATATGTGCCTGGTAGCTTTTGCTTTGTAACGGTCTAGGCGAGATGAGAGCTCCCGTTCCCCAGTCTCTTCATTCTTCTTCTTCAGATTAATAAGAGCGGCTGGTTCTCTCCTGAAAGCAATTTCAAAAAGTTATCGCTTTGTGCCAACAAATGCTAGGGTGACTAAACGTACTCAACCTCATTCTTTTTGGTAATACAGGTTCCTGCGACCAAGTACATGAGCTTCAGTGTGGACAACACCAATATTCCATATCAGGCAATTCCTCCTTTAAAAACTCAAGCGTTGCTGGCAACCAAGATTCATAGTACAGTACTCTCCATTACTTATGCATGGCTGTGAAAGCGGGACACTGACGAATCAACTTTCTTCCTGACAGCTTTCATCTGAAATGTGTTGCTGAAGGTGAGTTCTACAGATACGTGGACTGCCAAAAAGACAAATAAGTGGGTTCTAGATCTAATCAAGCCGAACTCTCTCTAGAAGCTAAAATAACCAAACTGAGGCTACTAATAATGCTAGGAAAAGTTGAAGGCAGCAAGAAAAGAGGAAGACCCAACATGAGATGATGGACTGAACCAATCTAGGAAGCCACAGGGGCCCTCAGTTTGCAAGGTTGTTCACAACAGGACATTTGGGGGCTCATTAATTCATAGGGTCGCCATAAGTCTAAAGTTACTTGACAGGACTGAACAATGGAGATGGACTGATGACAGAGCATCCACTTGGCATGCTGACGTTCCCAGGCCCAATCTCCAGTATCTCCATCTTTAAAAAAAGAAAAGAAAAAAGAGGTACCAAATTATGTATAAGACCACCACCTGAAGAGCTGCTGTCGGTCAGAATAAACAATACTGACCTTGATAGACTGGTGGTCTGACATCCGTATGCATTTAAAAGAGGGACAGGCTTGCCAGGCCCCAGAGGTAGGGCTGTAAAATTTCCAGAAATCCTTGTTTTCCAGGAAAAAGAATGGAATCGGGAGGGGCGGGAAATTGAAGTCTAAACCCATTTTGCTACTTATACAACATGAAATGCATAATTTATCTTAGCTAAAATATCAAGTTGTTACAAGCAAAACTACAAATAACTCAATACTGAAGCGAGAGAGAGCTGCAAACTGCTGCACCTAGGCTATCTTAGCACATTTCACTCACTCCGAAAGGGGGGAAAAATAGGAATGTTACTCAGCACTTCACAAAATTTGGGAAAACTGAATGCTGTCCATTTTGAGTGAAACCTTGCCTTAAAAAGCATTTTACTCAGTCGGAAAAAAAACCTTCTGTATGCTTTTTTTAATGGTTCCCAAAATTAGAGAGAAAGGTCCTTGAAGAAAACTGCTTTTGTCCAGTTTTTCCCCTGAGCCTTTATCAGAAAGTGGAAGCTAAGCAGGGCTAGTACTTGGGTTGAAGACCACCAAGGAAGATTCTGCAGCGGAAGACAATGGTAAAACCACCTCTGCTTCTCACTTGCCTTGAAAGTCCCTTGCTGCAACTTGAAAGCACTTCACACATGCACTAAACTCTTTTTATGCTACTGAATACTGTTTTTATGCCCACGGTGGATTTAGTGTTTAGATTACTTTATTTTTACTTCATGAGTCTACTTTATTTTACTTCATGAGTCACTTAAAACAGGTCTCTAGAGAGGTTGCCTAGAATTTTCTATATAAAATAAACACAAAGTGTCCTGGCATACAGAGTACAAGTGATTGCTCCCAGAGTAGTAGTTTAAATGGCTTGCCTACGATCGCGTTTTAAATTACCTATGTAACAAGACTGTTACAGCACATGAACAGCCTTTTTTTCCTAACACAGATTCAAAGAATCTCCATCGGTTGTAACAGATCCTACCAGTTTGGTCTGACAGCAAGTGCAAGATCTCTCGAGTACAAAGCATATAAAATTCTGTAAAGTGCCAGGTATACATACCCAACTGAGTCAGAGTTCTGTCTTTATCCGCTTGCCCATCCAAGTTGTACTGAGAGTGGCGTATGAGGAATATGTGCCTGGTAGCTTTTGCTTTGTAACGGTCTAGGCGAGATGAGAGCTCCCGTTCCCCAGTCTCTTCATTCTTCTTCTTCAGATTAATAAGAGCGGCTGGTTCTCTCCTGAAAGCAATTTCAAAAAGTTATCGCTTTGTGCCAACAAATGCTAGGGTGACTAAACGTGCTCAACCTCATTCTTTTTGGTAGTACAGGTTCCTGCGACCAAGTACATGAGCTTCAGTGTGGACAACACCAATATTCCATATCAGGCAATTCCTCCTTTAAAAACTCAAGCGTTGCTGGCAACCAAGATTCATAGTACAGTACTCTCCATTACTTATGCATGGCTGTGAAAGCGGGACACTGACGAATCAACTTTCTTCCTGACAGCTTTCATCTGAAATGTGTTGCTGAAGGTGAGTTCTACAGATACGTGGACTGCCAAAAAGACAAATAAGTGGGTTCTAGATCTAATCAAGCCGAACTCTCTCTAGAAGCTAAAATAACCAAACTGAGGCTACTAATAATGCTAGGAAAAGTTGAAGGCAGCAAGAAAAGAGGAAGACCCAACATGAGATGATGGACTGAACCAATCTAGGAAGCCACAGGGGCCCTCAGTTTGCAAGGCTGTTCACAACAGGACATTTTGGGGCTCATTAATTCATAGGGTTGCCATAAGTCTGAAGTTACTTGACAGGACTGAACAATGGAGATGGACTGATGACAGAGCATCCACTTGGCATGCTGAAGTTCCCAGGCCCAATCTCCAGTATCTCCATCTTAAAAAAGAAAAAAGAGGTACCAAATTATGTATAAGACCACCACCTGAAGAGCTGCTGTCGGTCAGAATAAACAATACTGACCTTGATAGACTGGTGGTCTGACATCCGTATGCATTTAAAAGAGGGACAGGCTTGCCTGGCAGTAGTTTATAAACCCAAAGAGAAAAGACCACACACCAAATTAAACATCAGTACCACAGTGTAATTAGTGATGTTTTAGAGGTAGGATTCTCTGCCCTATCACAGATCTCCAAAGAGCTGTTTTACTTAGGAATGGCCAAGAGCTTGGACACAACTAACCCAAGGAATTTTTGACCTTTGTATGTTGACCACCAGCACCACCACCATGCAATATCACAACAGAATTATACAAGCCTTACCAACTGCAAAACCGTTCTGCCATTTAGCAGGAGTTGGGGGGAGAAAGCTCCATGCAAAGAACACAGTATGGAATGAACGTTATGGGTAGAGGCTTCTGGAACTTTTAAACTTCCCAATATCTGGAACTATTAGGTGATGCATGTTCGCGGGACAATTAATGGAACAATTTGGTTGTATTATCTTGTGCCTTATCTGCAGTAAGAAAAAAACCCAGACTGACAGTGGTAGAAACTAAAATCTAAAGACCTTTAATCCCTCACTTTGCTTAAACACTTTTTATTTGCCTTTGCTGTCTTGGCTTTTAGCAGTACAGTGAACAGAGTTCTTGGCACTAAATTTCTTGGGTCTTAACATTTTATTAAGCCCAGAAATAGATCTTATAGGAGAGCCACCTCTCTCTAGCTTCCAGAACAGAATTAGTTGGCGGCCAACAAAGCCTGTAACAAGCGATTCCCAGCACAGTACATGCCCAGTCTATATTGGCGGTTTGTAGTTCTATAGTACAGCCACCTATTTATCTTCTACTTAGTAGTCTATGTTGAAAAGCCAAAATATATCCATCAAGATTATAAAATATACCAGTCAGAGCAGCTGTTTAGTCCTTCACTTCTGCTTATGCACTTTGCATACATTCACATCTCCTCCATGTCGACCTTCTCAATGACTAAAGGTTAAAATAAATTAAGTGGTGCAATCTTAAGAAATGTGGAAACATAATATGATGGTTAGGATCTACCTTCCTTAATCTCCAAGATGACACCACTACAAAATACATACAGTATTTGCAAGCTGCCCCAACTGAATGTTTGCAACCCAAACCACAGATACACACTATGCATAAACTGCTTGCGGCATTCCCAAGGGGAGATATTTCAATAGATAATAAATTAAACTCGCTTATCCACCAACCACCAACATGGAACTCAAAGTAGCACACAAAGATCTCCCATCGAGGTTCCAGATACCTCATGCACCTTTCAACCATAACCTGATACTATGCACCACCCAGCAAACTAGATACTAGCATGGTGCAGTGGTTAGAGTGTTGCAGTAATGACTGGAAAGGCTTTGTTTCAAATCGCCACTCTACCACAAAGTTTACAGGGACACTTGGGGCAGTCAATCTCTCAGGGCTGTTGTGAAGATAGAAAAAAACAAGAATCTAAGCTCTTTGCAGGAAGAGCTGGGATAAAAAAACGTAAATGCATATGTTTTTAGGCACCGTGAACCTGGGAGATAAACTGCAACACAAGTCTGACAACTCATATCAAAGGCCATATTCACATGCACCCTGTTTTAATTATTCAAAGTGCAAAAACAACTACTCAGTGCTACAGTGAGAAAAGCCAATGCAGATTAGAATCCACATTCCAGCCATATGAGCAGTTTGAAAGGATTAACCTGATTGTTAATAAAACAAGGTGACCAGAATGCCATTTAATAGAGGCAGCAGCCGCTTGCATTAGATAATCTTGAACGTACCCTTTAAAAAGTGTCTGAAACATAGAAAATGAACATGTACCAAAGTTTTTCACTCATCTTTATATACTCCACAGTCACTCTGCAATCATTACAGTAGTGTGGCATCTTAAAGGGCTTATCTCAAAAGTCCTGTTGATCCACATGCAAACATATGCATATGATTTCTTGACTGAAATTTCTTTAGCTGGCTGGGTGACAGCCATAACCCAAATCCAGAACAAGTCAACAACATCTCTCCAGAGTGAATAAAAATCAAATCCTTTTAAGAACAAAAGGATTTTTTAAAAAGGTTGTACTTAAAAAAAAAATCTGGCTAATGTCAGATATGTGAATCCTACACCCAAAGTGCAACCCTAAGCAGTTTCACACCCTTTCAAGTCGATACAAGTCAACGGGTTCAGAAGGGTGCAGCTCTGCTTAGAATCAGCATTTGTCTCTTGAAATTCAATACGTTGACCACAATCAAACACAATTAAATATCACTCTACTATGTGACACATGAAATTCAGTGTTGGTAAGTGTAAGGTGATGCACACTGGGACAAAAAAATTCCAACTGGATAGGCTTCTGGGACTGAGAAGGGAAAAAGATCTTTGGCTGATCGTGCCAATGTCAATCCAGTGTGCTGCAGCGGTGAAAAAGGAAAGCTATGTTAGGGATTACTAAGAAAGGGATTGAGAATAAAACAGCAGATATTGTAATGCCCTTGTATAGATTTATGGTGCAGCCTCATTTGGAATACTGTGTACGGTTCTGGTCACGGTATCTCAAAAAGAACACTGCAGAGCTGGAAAAGGTACAGAGGAGGACAACCAAGATGATTGGGGGGTTGGAGCACCTTCCCAATTAGGCAAAGATGAAGAGTCTGAGAATTTTCAGTTTAGACAAGAGACGGGGGGGGGGGGGGTGAAAGAGCTTTTTAAAATAAAGTTGACAAAGATAAATTTTCCTCCCTCTCTTCAAATACTTCAACTCAAGGACATCCAATGAAGCTGATGGGCAGTAGGTTCAGGATGGACAAAAGGAAAGACTACTTTACATAGTAATTAAAATTGGGAATTCACTGCCAGAGGATGTAGTGATGGCCACAGGAATAAACAGCTTTCAAAGAGGATCAGATAGATTCATGGAGAATAAGTCTATCAATGGCTACCAGCCATGGTGACTGAGGGGAACTTCCAAAATCAGAGACACTGAGCCTCTGAATCCCAGAGCCAGGAGGCAACATCAGGGGAAGGCCTCGGCCTCTATGCCCTGTTGTTAGCCATCCAGAGGAACTGGTTGGTCACTGCGTGAGACAGGATGCTGGACTAGATGGACCACTGGTCTGATCCAGCAGGGCTCTTCTGATATTCTTAACTCTACGATAAACATCCCTGAAGTGATGCACAGTAACTACGGCCCACATAGACTTGATATTTAGTACCAAGCAAAGGCAGGTCATCACAGACACCGGGATGCAGCCTCTTACCTACAAGAGATGACATCCTGTATATCAGAAGGAGGATCACTCACTGCATGCTCCTAGGTCCCCTTGCACACTGTTTTCATTCTGATTAATTAGAATCATAGAGGTGGAAGGTGCCTTCAGGGTCATCTAGTCCAACCCCCTGCACAATTCACAAAATACCTCCCCCCACACATCCCCAGTGACTGATCCCTGTTCCATGTCCAGAAGATGACAAAAAAACCTCCAGGATCCCTGGAGAAAAATTGCTTCCTGACCCCAAAGTGGCGATCGGCATTACCCGAGCTCTGCAATTTGCTCTGTTCTCAACCTTTGAGCAATTATTCTCTCTAAACAGAACAAAAATGTTTCCTTTTTGTCTTTTGAAAAAACAAGCTGGTCTGACCAATTGCATGCCCTTTTTACTATGGTCTTCTGGCTTCTTAGTTATGTCTAACTGATAGGCAGGCATACATATGCTACAAGACAAGTTACCAGGACTGTTTAATGTACAGTGTTACTGACAGGCTTTAATAAAAATCTTGCGTTAAAGATGACACAGGCTGCAGAAACACATGAGCTGCAACAAGCAAACATTTTACACTGCTAGCTGCTTCACATTTCTGAAGCAAGACTGACAAAAGGCAGTAAAATAACCCAATACAGAAAGAAGTGAAACCGAAACCAAGTAATGTTGGAAAGAAAGGAAAACACCTCCATCTTGTAACCTACAAAGTAATTATTAAAAAGCACTTCAGAACTCATTAAAAACACATTCCCCCTCACCATTCCAGAAATCCTGCTAGATTAGACTAAGGGGTCCATCTAATCCAGCATCCTACTTCACACAATGTCCATCTAGTTGTCCTAGCTATCCTGCAAGGCCAACAGACAGGGCACAAAGATGAAGACTTTCTGCTAATGATGCTTCCCAGCACTGGTATTCACAGCCTCTGGCTATGGAGTTCCCTTGATTCATCATGGCTACTCACTGACAGACATCCACAACTGGTTCATCATCTGTACATTATTAAGTTCAGGGGAGGTGAAATACTCTTGTAAGGCGCCTTTTCACCTAGCCACCGATCACTCCAAATCCAAAGTACCAGTGTATTTAAAGCCGCACCGGTACCCAAGCGACTAATAGTCAGGTAAACCAGGTTACAAACACATTTCAGTTTTCCTGCCCTTTAGAAGGGACATGGGGTGCTCGGGCCTTGGCAAGGCAATTTTGGAAGGGTTTACCACACTTTTATGGTTGGCAGATCCATCCACGGCTGGAAGTAGTCACACCAACACAACAGAAATCTAATCAGAAATGGTTCACTGCACGTGGCTGGTTTGTCCCCTACCGCATCTCAAGCTGCTTCCGCGTTGCCCTCAAACATGTGTACACACATCTGTAAATCGACCAGCCATTTTAATGCACGTGTTCTGGATCTTCACATACCACTGCCCAAAACATGGGCAAGGAACACCAACACTACTACCAACACTACCCCTCCTTCCGAAACCTTACCACATTCGTGCACTTAAAGCCCCCCCTGCCTCTCCACGCGCGCTCAGGGACAGGGATCAAACACGCGGTTCTCAGCGGCACACGTGTGAACCCGCTCCTCCAGACAAAGCCCCCTTTCCTCCCGCCTTCCATCCCTTACCTGTCCCAGTTGCTGTCCCAGTAGCCGCAGCCGTTGGTGCTCCTCTCGAGCCAGCCCGCAGCGGCGGGGCAAGAAGCCGCCGGCGAAGGCAGGAGCAGCAAGCCCGGCGGAGAAGCCGCGGCGGGGGGAGGCGCCGAGACGGGGTCGGCCGC